TGCTTATATTTATTTGTAATAAACCAGATAGCAGAACATCGTTGGCCCAATCTTACATTATGGTTGTATTATCTCTGTTGGGTTACCTTTATTGGGCCAACAATGGCCCAACATAGAATATCGATAGCTGGTAATGTATAACGGTGCGCTAATGCTGGGCTAACTGTTCGCATTATATCATAAAATTATCATCATGAGAGAAAATATTTGTTTGGGGATTGGCATCGGCCCAACGTTGGCCCAATATACCATGAATCTGACTGAGGATCATGGGTAGACAACAACCGGGCTACTTGTAATATCCGCGCCATTTTTAATCTGACACGAGCGAGCGTAATGAGACTGATACCTTGCATATCTGCATCCACTTTGTAAGTATTTATAATATGTTTGCCTCGGCACAGCTGAATTAACGTTTAGTTTTTAAATGATATCATGTACAAATCTGCGCAAAGCAGACACGGGGAAGTGCAGAGGCCAGGTGCTGTTGGGTCAACACTGTACCCCAGATGGCATGATAACATTGGGCCAACGTTTGGCCAATGTAATCGGTTACATCGGGCCAATGTTGGCAAATGACATTGACCCAATTTAAGTTTGCTCATCGGCCCAATGTTGGCCCGATATGTTGGGCCAACGTTGGCCCAGTGTAGAGTGTTATTTCTACAGATATTGGCCCAACCTTGCGCCAACATTGGCCCAATGAATGTGACATTCTTTGACCAACGTCAATAGGAACATTGGGCCGATGTGGGCAAATGACGTTGGTCCAGTGTCATTTTGCTCCTTGGCCCAATGTTGGCCCGATATTTTGGACCAACATTGGGCCAATGTGTATAAACATTTAATTGTTACAAACCTGTATATCAAGAAATCTGATCATCTCTACAATCAAAAATAAATCTACAACCAACCCTACTTGAAAGTACAAGCTAGCTAAAATAAATTTACAAGGCTTGTTAAAATGTTAAATTATCAGTGATTTTAAATGTTTTTGTTTTTATACAAGAAAAATAAATTAAAGTATAGAATAACAAATGTGTTTTGATACAGTTAAAACAATAAATAATTTGTCCCTTATTTATATTGAAATGTGTGACTAGTAAAATACATTTCCGAAGTCTACCACTTAATTTACTTATATACACTTAACGTCGAGCATATGATCAAACATTTTGAAAATATTGAACTTGTTGAAGTTAAAACTAAATTTATTCAGTACTAAACATAAATTGGGTTCTTTCAATTAAAATTTGTTCAATGCAACGACTTTTCTATACATGTATTTTATATGGGGCAACATTGAATCAAAATCGTTGTGATGATGATAATGATCAAGCGTAGAAACGTTATGCATAAATGCCTTCATCATGCAAGCTAATCACTTAATCACACCATGAAACAAAAAAGACGGTTATTCCTTAATTGACAGCTTAAACATATAGTGATATACTTGTAAATTTAATTGTATGTTTACTCTTTACTGAGAAAAGTAACAAATGTATTAAGTACCAAATACTATGATTTTAGTGCTACTGGAGATTCTAAAAAGACATTCAAAACACAATCAAAGAATAGCTAAGGTATGCCAAGGACAGGGATGGGGGAGGAAGAAACGGACAGAGAAGAAAAGAAGGGGGAGGAGGAGACTCGGGAGAGAGAAGAGGAAACTTAGGAGAGGGATCAGATGGAAAGTGGCAGTGCCTAGCTTTTTCTGTTATATACTGTGACAAATCTGTAGATCTACCCTTTTCTGTGTCTGTTTGTTGGTTACAAACACGATGCAGATGCCAGAAACATTTTTTGTGTAAGTAAACAAAATGACGGGATTCATTTTAGTATTATTTTAAGAACAGGGGGGCTTTGTTTCTTTGTTGGACCTGCTTATTGATACCTGCAATTTACTGAACTTGTGCATAAATTTACATCAGAGAGGGAGTATACAGTCATGTAACCCTACATGTATCGCTTGAAGTGAGCATCAACTTTTATTTCTTTATTATTGTTTTCTTCATGCACTGAGCAATAAAATACTAGTATGTTATAATATAATTTTATATTTTGATTTCTTTTTCCTCAGTTTTTTAGCTCACCTGAGCCGAAGGCTCAAGTGAGCTTTTCTGATCACATTTTGTCCGTCATCCGTCCGTCCGTCCGACTAGCTGTCCGTCTGTAAACTTTTCACATTTTCGACTTCTTTTCAAGGACCACTGGGCCAATTTTGACCAAACTTGGTACAAAGTATCTTTGGGTAAAGGGGAATTTAAATTGTTAAAATGAAGGGCCAAGTCCCCTCACAAGGGGAGATAATCAAGAAAAGACAAATATTGGGTGGGGTCATTAAAAAATCTTCTTCTCAAGAACCACTGGGCCAGAAAAGCTGAAACTTATGTGGAAGCATCCTTGGGTAGTGTAGATTCTAAATTGTTCAAATCATGACCCCCGGGAGTAGGGCTGGGCCACAATGGGGAATCAAAGTTTTACATAGAAATATATAGGAAAAAACTTTGAAAATCTTCTTCTCAAGAACCACAGGGCCAGAGGAGCTGGAACTTATGTGGAAGCATCCTTGGGTAGTGTAGATTCTAAATTGTTCAAATCATGACCCCCGGAGGTAGGGGCGGGGCCACAGTTGGGAATCAAAGTTTTACATAGAAATATATAGAAGAAATCTTTAAAAATCTTCTTCTCAAGAACCACTGGGCCAGAAAAGCTGAAACTTATGTGGAAGCATTCTGAGATTGTGTAGATTCTAAATTATACAAACCATGACCCCCGGGGGTAGGGCGGGGCCACAATGGGGAATCAAACTTTTACATAGAAATATATAGGAAAAATCTTTGAAATCTTCTTCTCAAGAACCGCTGGGCCAGAAAAGCTGAAACTTTTGTGGAAGTATTATTGGGTAGTGTAGATTCTAAATTATTCAAATCATGACCCCCGGGGGTAGGGCGGGGCCACAATTGGGAATCCAAAGTTTTTAGTTTTACATAGAAATATATAGGAAATATATATTTGAAAATCTTCTTCTCAAGAACCACTGGGCCAGAAAAGCTGAAACTTATGTGGAAGCATCCTTGAGTAGTGTAAATTCTAAATTGTTCAAATCATGACCCCCGGGGGTAGGGCGGGGCCACAATGGGGAATCAAAGTTTTACATAGAAATATATAGAAAAAATCTTTGAAAATCTTCTTCTCAAGAACCGCTGGGCCAGAAAAGCTGAAACTTATGTGCACATGGAAGCATCCTGTGGTAGTGTAGATTTTAGAAATGTCTAAATTATGATCAGTTGGGTAGGGTGAGGTCGCAATATGTGTGTTAAAAAGGGGAAATCTGTTAAAGAACAGAATGGTCAAAGTTTCTCAGGTGAGCGATGTGGCCCATGGGCCTCTTGTTAATTAATGCTATGAGATATATATTGAGAATATGTATTTAACTATTAATCTAGCATATATACATAGTATTAAAGGGCTTTTACCATTAAACTGTACTACAAAACTAGTATAACCTTAACATATGTATTTGTTTGTCAATTTTGAGGACAAATGGCCAACCAGTGAAGAGCAAATGAGTTGTCATGATAGAGAGCCAATAAGATACAAACCAACGTTGGCCCAAAAATGATGTTTGCCTAATTTTGAAAGAATAAGTGGCCCAACAATGGCTCAATAATATCCGTTCGTTGGTTCAACAATAAGCCAACAAGTTGGTCTGATTAAGGGCCGATGAGCAAATTACCGTTGGCCCAACATTAATTGCTTACAATGGCCCAAATGTACAAAAATGACGTTTGCCCAACATTGAAAAAATACATTGGCCCGACAGTGGCCCAATATTAACTGTTACATTGGCCCAACAATAAGCCAACAAGTTGGTTTGATTAAGGGCCGATGAGCAAATTACCGTTGGCCCAACAATAACTGCTTACAATGGCCCAATTGTACAAAAATGACGTTTGCCCAATATTAAAATAATACATTGGCCCAACAGTGGCCCAATATTAACTGTTACATTGGCCCAACAATAAGCCAACAAGTTGGTTTGATTAAGGGCCGATGAGCAAATTACCGATGGCCCAATGTTGAATTCAAACGGTGGCCCAACATACGGAGCATTGTTGGCCCAACAAAGGTCCAATAACATCCTGCTATCTGGGCAAATACTCAAAACTAACTAAAATATAATCCCAATGCCAAGAAAATAGGAACTGACTGATTTTTTGGCTGTAATCAATTTTTATTCATGAAATCATACCTATTCTATAGGACAAACACCACCAAATGTTTTCCCATAGACTTCCATACAAACTTTAGCCCCTCTCACTGATACATGTATTGAATTTCGGGCAAATGACCTTTTTGTCGTGAAAGTTCGAGATATTGAAAAACAAAAAATGCCAGAAGAAATATACCGTGCCGTTGCACTTTTACTTTCAATTTCCATTTGTTTACAACTAGGTGCGTTTGACACCCAATGAAAATCTCTAACCAAAGTGCATTCCTCCCTTCAAATTTTTACCTGTAACTCCTATATACCTCAAAGAAACCCAAGTCTTGATATGAGATTTTCATCAACTTTATTTTACTTGTCAAATACATAACAAGTCTTTTCTCTTATTGACCAATCACGCGCCAGCTAGCATTTTCTCCTCCGCACAACTTTGGGTGTCCAAAATGTCTGCGCCCATGTATTTGTTTATGTAGGGGTTTTTCCTGTTGATCTTTTTTATTTTCAGTTTCGTATACGACAGGTCGATCTTGACAATGACAAATGAGAGAGAGAGAGAGAGAGAGAGAGAGAGAGAGAGAGAGAGAGAGAGAGAGAGAGAGAGAGAGAGAGAACAAGAAAAGAATTAAAACTTTCCTATTCTCCTTAAACTTTTTCTATTGCACAAAGAATACGTTCAATAATTGAAATGCAAGTTTTTAAAAATAATTAATGAAATCATCAAAGGTTTATTGTTATGGTTTAAATGCTGTTCCGTAGATCTAAATCAAACATGGGTTCCCAAGTAGATGATCATGGCGACCAATGTTCACAACTAAGAGATGAAACCAATGTCTCGGATGAGTATCTTGGTGGGAATAGTAAAGAAAGTAACAGAGAGAGTTCTCAGATTGAACCTAAAGGGAATTTGAAACGAAGCAAAGGACAAAACAAAGAAACGTGGGGAAAATCAAAAATCCGTAGCACAAACCTAATGAAACGCACCAGGGAAGTGTCTTCAGGTCACAGGAAAGGCCAAAACAAAGAAACATGGGAAGTATCAAAACTCCGTAGCACAAAACCAAAGAAACTTACCAAGGAAGTGTCTTCAGATAAAATGTTTGAACATCTATGTGTATGGTTTGTTTTATTCATTGCTGGCATAGGATTGTACTTTTATTCATACATTTCAAAGACCGATACCATAAACCATCCATTGAAAATTCCAAAAGTTAATTCGAAATTGACAACGTCTGCTAAAAGAAACTCTAAATATTTTTGGGGGTCATATCGAGCAAATCTTTATTTTGGATTAAAAACACGTTCGCCTAGATCTCCGGTCGTAGGTCTGATGTGGATGAAACAATTTCCAGATCCTAGAAAACAGGGGTCTAATAAATTACGACACTGGTGCAAGGAAGATGATGAGTTGGTAAAATATGGATGGCTGAGACATGACGGTTTGAGTTTTGGCATTCATGAGGTGGAGGAGGAAGAATTTATATTCAACACAACATTTGTGAAACGTCAAGTTGGACATCATGGAGGGGAGTGGTCTGCAAGAATAACAGCTTTTTCAACGGTAAATATAGAGAATAATCTTCAATAAAATGTTACGAAGATTTTATTGTTTTATTTTTAAAAACAATTTGTCATTTTGTATACGGTTTATGTATCTTACAAAAGTTTGGAATAATTGATTTCATTTTTTAGTTCAACTTACTGAAAGCCAAATTAGCTTTTTTGATCACATATCATCTTTAGTTTGTCTGCTTGTAGTTCTATATCTGCCTGCCCATCTGTAAGCTTTTAACATCTTATTTTTGACATCTTATCACGTATCACCGGATCGATTTTATCCCAACTTGCTCCAAAGTGTTCTTTTCAAATAAAGGAAAACGCTCTCCTTAATGCGAAGAAAATTAATAATATGTGAAAATTAATATAGTCTTTTTAAAATCGTCTTAAGAACCAAGGTTGTTTATAGGTAAAGACAAAGGGTAATTGAAATGATATATACGATGATAAAGAACAGTTCTATAGCTCAAAAGTCCATCTACAGACCTGGAGCAAAGAAATCATGGACCTCTAGAACATCAGAGTTTAGGTTCCATGGAGGAAAAAGCAGCCACTGCAGACAAGTCCACTTTGGAATTTAAAAAAAAATTACTTCATATCTAATGGAGAACTTCTGGGCCAAAAAAAAGCTGAAAGTTATGCAAACACATCCTTGGGTAGATTTTAAAATGTCCTAATTATGACTCGTGAGGTAGGTTGGGGTCAAATATGTATTACTTTGGGGAAAGAACAGAACGGTCAAAGCTACTTAGGTGAGCAATATGGCCAATGTACCTCTTGTTTACCCTTTGACCTTGACATTGATATACTTTTCACAAAATTGAGAAGAGATAGGGATTCAATATTACATATGTGTGTTATCCTTGACAAGATCTTTCTAAACATGCTATGATTTTGACGCCATGAGCTTGACCTTGAAGTTTGACCTTTGTCTAAAAAACTTTAACAATGGTCATAACTTTTTAATGAGAATTTTAGAGCTTTCACCTTTCACATGCATATTACCCGTGTAAGACTCTCTCTCTCTCTCTTTTTTTTTTTAATTAAATTCTGATTTTTGACTACGTGACCTTGACTTTGAAGTTTGACCTACCGGTTCTTGTATTCTAAAAAGTTTTTTTTTTCCTGATAATTTTTGATAAGTAGAGATGAGGCATTCATAATTGATATGTTATTACCTGTGACGTGATATTTCCGAGCATGCTATGATTTCAGACCCCTTAATCTATTTAAAAAGAAATCAACTTTGGTGATAACAAAAATGGAACTGCAATTATTTGAACTTGCTTGTTGTAATATGCATATATATATTTATGTACAATTGCCAATGCCAATTTATTTTGACATAATAATTAATTTATGAAACTTCTCGTTTATTAACATTTCCGTGTACTATTGTAATTCCAACTCACATTTATTGCACTATCGCAATATTTCAAGAAACCGCCTTCACTCTCCATTCTCATAAACAACAAGACATTTAGGTATGTTGCACTTTGCCACTAATGTGACTTTAATTAGAGAACATACTTGTAATTAATTATGAAATAATTGATCTTGAAATCCATAAAATTATCAATAAACAACTTTTTATCTGTATCAAAAATTAACAACAGAATGAAACCGAATTATGAATATGATTAATATGCAAACCGTGATTTCATAATAAATGACGTAATTGATTACATAATATATCAAACGTTCTTGTGGTCTGAAACCGCCAAAAACGACCTAAACACATTATAAAAAACCAAGAAAAGAAGATAGACAAAACTGGACAACCTTAAAAAAGGAAAAGGTGGAGGGGTGGAGGCGGCTTAAAATAATTTTAAGCTATCCAATACACATGTACTTTTCACGGCGTCCTAAAAGAAACTGAAAAGTGACGCTATCTGAACGACCAGGTCCTGATTCTTACCGCACACGATTTTCATTGGGCGTTTACTAAACATTTTCATTTCGAAGAATCGCTTGCATCTGCCTCTCCTTATTTGGACACGGCAAAAACTTTCCAACGATATTGGAAGCCCTATAACTCTTACACGCAGAGCATTCCAATGTACATAAAATATTTTAAGTAAAACTTAAAATTCATTTATGTACAATTGCCAATGCCAATTTATTTTGACATAATAATTAATTTATGAAACTTCTCGTTTATTAACATTTCCGTGTACTATTGTAATTCCAACTCACATTTATTGCACTATCGCAATATTTCAAGAAACCGCCTTCACTCTCCATTCTCATAAACAACAAAACATTTCGATATGTTGCACTTTGCCACTAATGTGACTTTAATTAGAGAACATACTTGTAATTAATTATGAAATAATTGATCTTGAAATCCATAAAATTATCAATAAACAACTTTTTATCTGTATCAAAAATTAACAACAGAATGAAACCGAATTATGAATATGATTAATATGCAAACCGTGATTTCATAATAAATGACGTAATTGATTACATAATATATCAAACGTTCTTGTGGTCTGAAACCGCCAAAAACGACCTAAACACATTATAAAAAACCAAGAAAAGAAGATAGGCAAAACTGGACAACCTTAAAAAAAGGAAAAGGTGGAGGGGTGGAGGCGGCTTAAAATAATTTGAAGCTATCCAACACACATGTACTTTTCACGGCGTCCTAAAAGAAACTGAAAAGTGACGCTATCTGAACGACCAGGTCCTGATTCTTACCGCACACTATTTTTATTGGGCGTTTACTAAACATTTTCATTTCGAAGAACCGCTTGCATCTGCCTCTCCTTATTTGGACACGGCAAAAACTTTCCAACGATATGGGAAGCGCGATAACTCTTACACGCAGAGCATTCCAATGTACATAAAATATTTAAAAAAAAAACTTAAAATCTATTTATGTACAATTGCCAATGCCAATTTATTTTGACATAATAACTAATTTATGAAACTTCTCGTTTATTAACATTTCCGTGTACTATTGTAATTCCAACTCACATTTATTGCACTATCGCAATATTTCAAGAAACCGCCTTCACTCTCCATTCTCATGAACAACAAGACATTTAGGTATGTTGCACTTTGCCACTAATGTGACTTTAATTAGAGAACATACTTGAAATTAATTATGAAATAATTGATCCTGAAATCCATAAAATTATCAATAAACAACTTTTTATCTGTATCAAAAATTAACAACAAAATAAAACCGATTTATGAATATGATTAATATGCAAACCGTGATTACATAATATACGACGTAATTGATAACATAATATATCAAACGTTCTTGTGGTCTGAAACCGCCATGTACTTGATTAAATTTATACTTTAAATTAAATTTAATCAAGTTCAGACCCCAAGAAAAAAAAAATATATATATATATATGAAGCACTAAAAAACCAACAACACTGTATATCCTAAATGTCAAATCTACCAAGTGGACACAAGGTCACGGATGGAAATTTATATATAGCAGTAAAAATGACCAACGACACAAACAATAAAAATTGTCAAATTTTTGGGACACCCTGTCCTTTCCTCAGGACTTGTAAAGAAAAAAGTTAAAAAATCATAAGAACAAAGGAAAAAGTTAAACAAAAACCAACTAACACTACTACTTAACTACTAACACTATATATTTACATACTTAGTTACATGTTGAATTGGAAATTTTTAAGAACACTATTGAAGAAAGAAATCCGGACCGCTATAAAATACGTCCGGTCTATCGGGTATCTTCGGGTGAAGTGCGATTTACATAATTGAACGATTTAATTATGCTAATTAATTACGACAATCAGAAAATCGTACATTGTTTCTATGTGGCGTTACTATACTTGAAGAATAATCAAATAAAAATAATATAGCAGGGATAATTTAAAATATGAATATTCATACTAATTAAGGAAACCTGGCTTGGTATATTTTTCTAAAGCTTATATTACATTTTTAGCACCAAGGTAACATATTTTGAATTTTTTTTTCATCTGTTTACCTGTTTAGAGTTTGTTTATTCAAATTGTAATTATATTTAAATATTACTAATATTTTCCAAGTCTATTTCTTTTCCCACTTTATCCACTTTTCTAAACTTGTGACATGATATTAAGTCTCCTCCAAAGAAAAAAATTGTTTGTATCATCTGTCCTTAAACGTTACATCTCTCAGATTTATTGACGACACGTGCACAATGTCATGGTGTAAGGTGTTTTTCGTTGTATGTTTTTCAAAGAAGAATGGAATGAGGGGGAGTTAATCAGTTAGATTTTCATCATCAAAACAAATGTCAATTCCAATCAAATCACTCTAACTGATAAGACATCTAGTATATGCAAGTCTAGTAATAATTTCATATGATTTTCCCTTAAATTCATAAATAAATAGATAAATGAAATTGACCAAACTGTCCTTGACATAACATTTATGTGCTGCACTCGTAGCAAAGCACGTATGAGGAATATTGCTGTGACTAACATAATAAAGGGCAGCTGTTCCCCTCCCATTGCTTCAATATTCCATTCATAAATTAATAAATACATTAACCACTTGTCCTATATTTGTGGATAAACCAAAAATAGAAAGTAACAATAATAATATTTTTAAAAGAGATACTGCTTATGTTCATGTAAGCTTAAGATATTTAAATATTTGATTTTTTACCAGTCTATGGTATAGCATAGAGTCTGCCAAATGAACGCAAACCTCCTCTGCCGCCCTCCCCCCATTCAAAAATATAAGCACTGAATAATGATAGAAAATATATCAGACAAAAATTAACTATTAGCAGATCCGATCTACTAGCTTCTTATTTTTTAAATAAATATATAAGATCATTTAATTAAATAAATGTTCAATCATTGCCTCTTAGATAATACCATTTCCCAATAAAAAATACCATAATTATCACTACAGTTGACAACAGCGAACAGTTTGACACTATGAAAACTTTGATGTACTATAGTGAACACTTTGACACTTTGATTTACTATAGTGAACACTTTGACACTTCGATTTAT